TGCAGCCCAGGCTCAGCCCTGGGGGAAAGCGGCCGCCTTCTCAGGTGACTTGGAAGAAGGGACACACTGGCTCCTGAGCAGGACACTAGGGACGGGCCTAGTCTTGACTGACACCCTTATGCCCAGACGTCCTCTCTGCAACTGCATGCTGCTCTTGCTGCAGGTACACAGCAAGTGCTCCGTAAATGTTAGCTGGACTGAAAGTCCCCCCCCCCACCCGCCCCCACCCCCGTGACTCTGATCGGCTCAGACTTGGCCTGTTCCTGTATGTGAGCATCGGCCACGTGCCAGGGGCTTCCGCAGGTGCTGTCTCAGGGCCACGAGGCGAGAACTCGATTCCCATCATTTACAGATGACAGCACCAGTCTTGGTGGGGTTGGGGACTCATGCAAGGTGACAAGGCCAGTAGGTGGTGGGACAAGGGTTCACATGGCTCGACCCGGAGCCGTTTCTGTTCCCAGCTGTCGGGCAGCTACACGGCTCTGTCAGGGTCCCTCTTTCTGTGCAGCCCTTGTTGGGAATGCAGAGTCTCGGGCCCGCAGCCCAGCATGTCCCCAAGATGCCCGGGACCCGTGATGGAAGGGATTTGGAAAGCTCTCTTCCCACAGGTGCTCCTGGAGGGTGACCTCTTGAGCCAAGGATTTCAAGGGCATGGCGGGGTCTGCTTTTGGCTTAACAGTGTGTGCACAGGAAAGTCCACAAGTGGGACAACCTAGAAGGGACAACCCCTGTGAGCCAGAGGACTGGAGGCTCAGGTGGCCGGGGAGGGACGCGGGGCGGGCCGCACGCTCACCTTGGGAGATGGTGGTGGTGGGGTAGGTGGAGTCCGGCAGCTGGTACGGGGGCAGCGTGGGCATGCCCGTGGGCGGGAAGCCCCCTGGCAGGAGGTGGTTGAAGGCTGCCAGCTGGTTGGCTCCTGCCTGCTTCCGCCAACGGGCGCGGCGGTTACTGAACCAGACCTGGGGGACGAGAGCGGAGATGGAGACCACCCGGCTGGAGCCGCTGGCACCAGTCCCCACCCAGCCACATCCTCCGGCCCAGGCA